CAACATCCAGTTCTATACAGTCATATGGAAATACAGATGTGGTGAATGGCCAGATTTCACAGCACAGACCACCACCGGAGACAAATACTGCCAAGAAACAAATCAACCTGAGACGCCGGTGAATGCAGCGAAGCTGCACTGCCACAAAGCAGGTGCTGTTTGGGAGATCAACACCATTGTCTTGATTTGACTGGTATCTGAACAGAGCACCTCTGCATGCTAGACCTGCAGGGACAGACTGAGGTGGTGGTATGCAACACCTCACAATTACATCTTGTGAAACAAGCCCCAAGGTCCTGAGAAGACACACGGCAGAGTACAGCCTGGGGGATGGCACTCTTGCACAGGCTCCAATGAATTAAGATCATCAGTTCACAACTGAAACAGCATTAAACAAATATTTACTTCCCAATCCAAACTTGAGTACACAGTGGAAGAAAACTGCAAACATACTTCTCCAGTTGCCAGCGCAATGAAGTTCTCCACAGTCTTTGGCACAACTTTTCCAAACAATCCAATTACAATTCTGCCAACATCTTTGTCTCCAATCTTCACATCAAAGAACACCTGAACGTTTTGGTGAAGAGAACAAAAGTGATACAAACATGAGCGCAACAAAAAGGCCAAGCTTTTGAAAGCCAAGGCATTAGCAAACTGCTTATGGCTCATCTAATAGAATGCCTCCGTTCCTGAAGGTGCTATTTAAGAAAAATGCTTTCAGAGCTACCAGAGCTACCAAAATTAGATTATGCAGAAAACTGTTTGAGAACTATAGTTTGAGACTATCAAAATGCATAGTTTTGATTGTTATTTGATTGTTATTGCTTTTAAGGGCTCAGCGAGACTGCTGCCTCACAAGTTTGAAGGTAGTGTTCAAAGATTTTTCCCATACAAGCATGTCTTTAATGCTGTACAGAATAGATCCAACCTGAAACTAAGGAAAAGCAATGATGCTGTTCCAGTGTGGTGAACAATAACAAGGAACTATAGCACTAACACTCCCCGCAATCAATAGTTTGCTATCCACTCACAGTCTTCACTGTTCAAGGCATTAGCACGCATGTGATTAAGTATAGGTGAAAGCCTAAATTTCATTGAATTGACAAACAGTGGGAAGAAAGTCCTATGGCTCAGGCAAGGAGTCACTTTCCTAAATATGAATTCAAACCTGGAAAAGAAATAACCGGGCTAAATTATTCAGCTGATTGCCTAAAAGTTTCAACATAGATGTTGCTAAAAAACAACTTCAAAAAGGCAAATGATTTATAAAGTATTTTAATATAGTTCAGAATATATGAATGCATATTTGAACGTGCAAAAATGTTCCAACAATTACTGAAAATAGGAACAGCTGTCAGGAAATGAGGCATTTTGAAGTTCTGAAAAAGTTACATAAAGACTATTACAACTTCTAGGAAACAGCAATGTGTATTCCTATGATGTGGTATATGCTGTTCCTTGTGGCACTCGACCAAATATTACTTGTCTGCAACGCTAAGAAATTAGTCCAAGGATGATAATAAATGACCACAGTCTCTCCAATGTGAATGCCTCTTTCACGCTCTCCTGCTAAACATTTCTACTGTTTCTTGATCTTCCATGTGGTTTTGACTGTTGAACTTTTGGCTAACGCTATAAAAGCTCCGTAAAGAAAATAAAATTCCTTTTGATACACCTCATTCATTTCCCTGGCACTTGGCACTAAACAACATACTTCTTAGATGTGTGGCTCCCAAAGTATTAACAGCACACTTTCACTAACTTCATAACCTTTTTTTAGACACATTTCTCTGAATTTTGCTCCCTGGGTTATCTAGGTAAGGGTTATAGCCTACCCGCATTTTCTAAATGCACCTTATTTTGCCTGGGAATGGTGTCCTAGTAGAAGGACTGCCTGAAACAAACAATCATATCTATGAGTAACACAAGGGCGGCTACCAAACAATGACCCCAGGTAGCAGTAACATCAAACATTTCCATAGAGCACATGGAGACAAACCCATCATATATGGTAAACCTAACCCAAGCAGAAGGCTTCACTCATGGCAGAGCTGCTCACTCAAGCAGCAAGCCCAGTATTTTCAAAAAGCGTTGCTTCAACTTATTCTGTGTTTGTGAACAAACAGTAAGTTCCTGGCTTCTTGTTGGAACTCCACATACCTGTGCTACACACTTGGGTGATTTGGAAAGCTCTGCGCTTCCTAACTATGCACCACATAAGGTGTCTGTGCGTATTTCTGGCCAGGAAATCAAATATGGAAATACTTGGTAGTTCTAGATGCAACTTTTGCAAAGAGGAGCCATGTCCTCTTAAGCATATCTCCCGAAGTTCTCTAGAAGGTCAGTAAGCACAGAGACTCTAGTGAGCTGGTCAACACAGAAGTCTCAAATCTCAAAAAACATCTGGCCAGATTCTTCACCAAAACCTCTTAAAGAAAATAAATATTATAAATTTTCAGTCTTACTAATATTTATATATTTAGATTCATATATATATTTAATCCTACTTACAATTTGCTTAAGTATTTCAAGACTGAAAGAGTCCACCTGTAAAAGTGGTTGGTTCTCATGAACATATTCATATATAATTTACACAAGATGGTGTATATCAAAATAAAAAAACCAAAAAACATCCAAAAGTATTCAACTATTTGGGGAAGGCAGGGGTGGGGGGAGGAGAGGGGGAACTGACTGTGAAAGAAAGATCTCAGGATTCCTAGAGACCAGGTAACATAATGACAAACAAACTCCTGATAAAGGCAAAATACTGCATGCAGAAGAGGACTATAGAGCCGCAACAAGGGGTCCCAAATCAGCTACCACTCAGAAAAGATATCTGGAGTCACCCTGTGCAGTCTGATGAAAAGTTTGGCTCTGGGCTTGTGAAGGTCAGAGAAGGCAAATGAATGTTAGAAATAATTAAAAATGGCTAAGGACAAGAGATGGGAATAATTATGCTACTGTGTGTTCATACCCTGAGTGCTGCATGTAATTCTGGCTTCTCTATTGCAGAATGGTAAAATCAACCTTAAAAAGGTAGAGAAAAGGGAAGCACAGATACTCAAAGACCTGGAATACCTTTCACATGAAGAAAGATTAAATAAAACTATGCAAGCTGGAAGAGAGAAAACTGGTGTGATTTGATAAGCAGCTTGGACAAGGAAAATGGGCAGCTGAAATACTCTGTCCCACAATGTAAGAATCAAAAAATGGCATAAAAATGGATTCCCAAGCAGGTCTGAAGAAGCAAAGTACTTTACGCATAATTAAACTGGAATATATTGCCAGAAGACAATTTGGAGGCTGAAACATAGGAGATTTACACACATACCCACCCAAAAAGGTCAAATTCATGATGGCAATCATGGTGATGTCTACGATGATGACGGTAGGCAATGGTGGCAATGAAGTCCAGAGTCAAAGGCACAGCCTGTGGCTGAGGAAGCAGCTCTGCCCCTGGTCTGTAAGGCTTTCACAAGTGGACGTGTCTCTCACCAGGAGCACAGCACTCCTGAGCGCGGGTGGAGAGGTGGAAAGACCTCATCCCTACTCTACCCAAAGCTGGAGCAGATTGCGTTCCTGTGACAGCAGCAGCGTTTTGGAAATTGGAAAGCAGTGCCGGCGTGCTGCCATTACTGGGTCCATCCCCATCCTGCTGCCAGGCGGCAGGGCCAGCAATCCCATCCCTGGGGCAGTGCCACCTGCCATCGCCCCAGGTACCACCCTGCCCTGGGAGGAGACGGGCCACACCGAGCCACCCCACATGCCGGGTCCCCATGGCAGCCCTCTCTGAGTCACCACGGGGTTCAGGTCACATTTTAACCCACACCAGGTGCCCGGGCCTGTCGCAGGAACGACCAGGGAACAAGAAAGAAGAGGTCAGTACGGTGACAGCTCAGGGGTGACAGCTCGGGACACCGAGAGCTCCAGCAGAGATGGAGGGGGGACACACAAGAACTAAGCCCAGCACGGCGGAGCACCCCCCCAGGGGCTGCAGCCAGCGAGGACACACATCCAGGCTGCAGCCCCAAACCACCCCCGGCCACACCAAAGGTGTAATTAGGGATTTTAAAGCTACTGTTCCCGTGCGCCAGAGGCGGGCGGGGCCCACCGGGAAGCCTGAGGCGTGCCAGCGCCCACTGACAGGGGCCGTGCCCGAAAGGGGGTAAGAAAAAAAAGTAAAAACCACCAAAAAAAAACCCAACCCAAACCCAACCAGAACACTTATAAAACGGCAAAGTTAAGGCATTTGTCCAAACCCGACCCCCGCCTGGGGCCCGGGATCCGGCCCGGGAAGGAGGGAGCCGGCAAGGGGCCGCTTTTACATTATAAAACCGGGGTGAACGGCGGCCTCCACCCCCTCGGTAGCCCCCGACAGCGGGCACGGAGCCGGCAGGAAAATCTACCCCTTCGGGAGCCTGCGGAGGAGACGCCGCAGCCCCCTCACGGCTCCCCGACCCCGACTCGCCTCAGGCCGGCGGCCGGGGGTTTCCCGTTCGGCGGAGCCGCCCCGCCCGAGAGTCACCTTGGCTGTCACGCTGGGTCCTCTCTTCTTGAAGCCCTCAGCCCCCGGGGCCAGGAAGCACAGGCAAGCGACAGCGCCGAGGAACGCCGCCGGCCCCCCGCCGGCCATGGCGCTGAGGCGAACGGCTGCGGCGCCTGCGCCCGCCGGGCGGCTCCTCCCGCGCCATGTGGCGGGGCGGGGGGGGGCTGGCGGAGGGGAGAGCGGCGGGGCGGTCACCCATCCCAGCGGCGGCCGGGGCTGGCCCTGCTTAGCTTCGGAGGGGGGATGGGAGGGGCGAGGCCCGCAGAGCCTGGGGAAGCGCTGGCGCTAGGGAGCCAGTCCGGGATGAGGTGGGCGGTGGGCGAGGTGCGGTGTCTGCAGACCCCGCGGCTCTCCTCCGAGGGGCTCTTCTACATCTTGGGTACGGGGGGGGGCTGCCAGGGTGAGCCCCGGGCCCCTGGCTGGGTTTGAGGTGGGATGCTTCTTCCTATGACATAAAACAAGAAAGCACACTTAAAAAGACATCCAACAAAAAAACAAAACAAAACCTTTTTGTTCAAAAATGGGAAAAACAAAGCATAAATTCAGGACTTGAAGATTCATTGGTCGAGTAAGTACAGCAACATCACTGTTTCATTGCCATAGATGATTTCACTGAATTTCACTGAGTTTTTTTAGAGTTGGAGCATTTTGTGCCTAAAGATAAGCTAAACACCACATATAAGGAGAGAATATTTAAAGCTGATGATGTTTTATCCTTTGAATTTAACAGGCAAGCTGAGCATCTTCAAACGTCCTCTTTCCATATGGCACTGAACAACAAATTTAAATTACGTAAAATATGCTGAAAGTAAGGTTGCCACATTTTGTGACAATTTTAGTCTTTACTTTTACAACTTTTCCTCCTAATATGAAATTGCTTTAGACATGTTTAGAAATATACGAAGACCAAATGGAAATTAGCCTAAAGGACTCGGAGTGGATTTGTACAATCATTACATAAGGATTTTGATGTTTCTAAGACAGTTCAGAAGAGAAAACATTTGAGTCATGTTTAAACCACCATCACTTTGAAAAGGCTGACCATCCCATTCTTTATTTGTACAGCGCCTAGCATGATGCTGCTCCCAAAACCTGCAGATGCTATCCCAATAAACAGTATTAGCAGGCAAACAAACACTGCCTACCTTTAATGCTAAAACCCTATCTTTGGTATTTTAGCCTTCCCCATTGTTTGCTGCAAGGAAAAGCGTGTTTCCCATTCTGTCCCAGCGGGGAAATCACTAACGCTTTATGCAGACAGTTCAAATTGTAGCACATAAAGAATGTGTGTGTAAAGGAAGACAAGAAATCAGAAGCCAGAGTGCACGCAACAAGAGATGCTGCCCTGGGATCGCTCTTCTGTGTGGACTCAACTGGTCTTCTGGAGGCTCAGGAGGGGAGAAGTGATGCACACACCAGAACTCGCACCACCAGTAAATTCACGGTTTTAAACTCATTAAGAGGAAAAAAGAGGAGAGGGCATGACCCTCATTTTTTAATTTCTCTACTCCTTTTTAAAATTCCTTCCCATCACACATTTTAAGGAGGTTCCACAGAACTGGCTGAGCCGAGGGCAGAGAGGACAGCCTACTCCTTCCCCACCTGCCTTCCCTCTACATACTTTCACCATTTCCTCTCAGAGTAGTTTTCTGCCAGATGACTTGAATTGGTTCAGGTCTACATGCCATCAGTGAGTGCCTCAGGGAAGGAACATGCTGTCGAAAAGCCAGAGCAGAGGAAGGGTGGAGACATCCATCTTTTGGAGACAGTATGTTGCAGGAGCAGCTCAGCTGGTGGGCCAGCCCACCACACAAAGCCATGCTTCTTCAACAGAGACAAGCCACAAACAGAAAAGATCTGCAAAAATTTAGGATAAAGGAAGCTCTACACATACTTATAATCAGGTTATCAAAATGACTGCAGCTTATGTTCCAAGATGCTTGGAAAAGTACTAGATGCTCTAAAACAAATGGTGGTTGTTGGTTTGTTGGATTTTTTTTAATTTATGTGAGCTGAAAGACCAAGACAATCTGCTAATTTGCCCATCTTTTCCACAGACATTCAAAGAAAGGAAAGGGAACCTAGAAGATACCAAGCATGTTACCTCCTGATCCATCTCCAGCTGTAAAGTCTCCTCCTTGAATCATGAAGTCTTTGATCACACGATGAAATTTACTTCCTTTGTATCCATATCCTCTCTAAGAAAATGAAATAATTCTTTAAATGAACACAACATCCAGTTCTATACAGTCATATGGAAATACAGATGTGGTGAATGGCCAGATTTCACAGCACAGACCACCACCGGAGACAAATACTGCCAAGAAACAAATCAACCTGAGACGCCGGTGAATGCAGCGAAGCTGCACTGCCACAAAGCAGGTGCTGTTTGGGAGATCAACACCATTGTCTTGATTTGACTGGTATCTGAACAGAGCACCTCTGCATGCTAGACCTGCAGGGACAGACTGAGGTGGTGGTATGCAACACCTCACAATTACATCTTGTGAAACAAGCCCCAAGGTCCTGAGAAGACACACGGCAGAGTACAGCCTGGGGGATGGCACTCTTGCACAGGCTCCAATGAATTAAGATCATCAGTTCACAACTGAAACAGCATTAAACAAATATTTACTTCCCAATCCAAACTTGAGTACACAGTGGAAGAAAACTGCAAACATACTTCTCCAGTTGCCAGCGCAATGAAGTTCTCCACAGTCTTTGGCACAACTTTTCCAAACAATCCAATTACAATTCTGCCAACATCTTTGTCTCCAATCTTCACATCAAAGAACACCTGAACGTTTTGGTGAAGAGAACAAAAGTGATACAAACATGAGCGCAACAAAAAGGCCAAGCTTTTGAAAGCCAAGGCATTAGCAAACTGCTTATGGCTCATCTAATAGAATGCCTCCGTTCCTGAAGGTGCTATTTAAGAAAAATGCTTTCAGAGCTACCAGAGCTACCAAAATTAGATTATGCAGAAAACTGTTTGAGAACTATAGTTTGAGACTATCAAAATGCATAGTTTTGATTGTTATTTGATTGTTATTGCTTTTAAGGGCTCAGCGAGACTGCTGCCTCACAAGTTTGAAGGTAGTGTTCAAAGATTTTTCCCATACAAGCATGTCTTTAATGCTGTACAGAATAGATCCAACCTGAAACTAAGGAAAAGCAATGATGCTGTTCCAGTGTGGTGAACAATAACAAGGAACTATAGCACTAACACTCCCCGCAATCAATAGTTTGCTATCCACTCACAGTCTTCACTGTTCAAGGCATTAGCACGCATGTGATTAAGTATAGGTGAAAGCCTAAATTTCATTGAATTGACAAACAGTGGGAAGAAAGTCCTATGGCTCAGGCAAGGAGTCACTTTCCTAAATATGAATTCAAACCTGGAAAAGAAATAACCGGGCTAAATTATTCAGCTGATTGCCTAAAAGTTTCAACATAGATGTTGCTAAAAAACAACTTCAAAAAGGCAAATGATTTATAAAGTATTTTAATATAGTTCAGAATATATGAATGCATATTTGAACGTGCAAAAATGTTCCAACAATTACTGAAAATAGGAACAGCTGTCAGGAAATGAGGCATTTTGAAGTTCTGAAAAAGTTACATAAAGACTATTACAACTTCTAGGAAACAGCAATGTGTATTCCTATGATGTGGTATATGCTGTTCCTTGTGGCACTCGACCAAATATTACTTGTCTGCAACGCTAAGAAATTAGTCCAAGGATGATAATAAATGACCACAGTCTCTCCAATGTGAATGCCTCTTTCACGCTCTCCTGCTAAACATTTCTACTGTTTCTTGATCTTCCATGTGGTTTTGACTGTTGAACTTTTGGCTAACGCTATAAAAGCTCCGTAAAGAAAATAAAATTCCTTTTGATACACCTCATTCATTTCCCTGGCACTTGGCACTAAACAACATACTTCTTAGATGTGTGGCTCCCAAAGTATTAACAGCACACTTTCACTAACTTCATAACCTTTTTTTAGACACATTTCTCTGAATTTTGCTCCCTGGGTTATCTAGGTAAGGGTTATAGCCTACCCGCATTTTCTAAATGCACCTTATTTTGCCTGGGAATGGTGTCCTAGTAGAAGGACTGCCTGAAACAAACAATCATATCTATGAGTAACACAAGGGCGGCTACCAAACAATGACCCCAGGTAGCAGTAACATCAAACATTTCCATAGAGCACATGGAGACAAACCCATCATATATGGTAAACCTAACCCAAGCAGAAGGCTTCACTCATGGCAGAGCTGCTCACTCAAGCAGCAAGCCCAGTATTTTCAAAAAGCGTTGCTTCAACTTATTCTGTGTTTGTGAACAAACAGTAAGTTCCTGGCTTCTTGTTGGAACTCCACATACCTGTGCTACACACTTGGGTGATTTGGAAAGCTCTGCGCTTCCTAACTATGCACCACATAAGGTGTCTGTGCGTATTTCTGGCCAGGAAATCAAATATGGAAATACTTGGTAGTTCTAGATGCAACTTTTGCAAAGAGGAGCCATGTCCTCTTAAGCATATCTCCCGAAGTTCTCTAGAAGGTCAGTAAGCACAGAGACTCTAGTGAGCTGGTCAACACAGAAGTCTCAAATCTCAAAAAACATCTGGCCAGATTCTTCACCAAAACCTCTTAAAGAAAATAAATATTATAAATTTTCAGTCTTACTAATATTTATATATTTAGATTCATATATATATTTAATCCTACTTACAATTTGCTTAAGTATTTCAAGACTGAAAGAGTCCACCTGTAAAAGTGGTTGGTTCTCATGAACATATTCATATATAATTTACACAAGATGGTGTATATCAAAATAAAAAAACCAAAAAACATCCAAAAGTATTCAACTATTTGGGGAAGGCAGGGGTGGGGGGAGGAGAGGGGGAACTGACTGTGAAAGAAAGATCTCAGGATTCCTAGAGACCAGGTAACATAATGACAAACAAACTCCTGATAAAGGCAAAATACTGCATGCAGAAGAGGACTATAGAGCCGCAACAAGGGGTCCCAAATCAGCTACCACTCAGAAAAGATATCTGGAGTCACCCTGTGCAGTCTGATGAAAAGTTTGGCTCTGGGCTTGTGAAGGTCAGAGAAGGCAAATGAATGTTAGAAATAATTAAAAATGGCTAAGGACAAGAGATGGGAATAATTATGCTACTGTGTGTTCATACCCTGAGTGCTGCATGTAATTCTGGCTTCTCTATTGCAGAATGGTAAAATCAACCTTAAAAAGGTAGAGAAAAGGGAAGCACAGATACTCAAAGACCTGGAATACCTTTCACATGAAGAAAGATTAAATAAAACTATGCAAGCTGGAAGAGAGAAAACTGGTGTGATTTGATAAGCAGCTTGGACAAGGAAAATGGGCAGCTGAAATACTCTGTCCCACAATGTAAGAATCAAAAAATGGCATAAAAATGGATTCCCAAGCAGGTCTGAAGAAGCAAAGTACTTTACGCATAATTAAACTGGAATATATTGCCAGAAGACAATTTGGAGGCTGAAACATAGGAGATTTACACACATACCCACCCAAAAAGGTCAAATTCATGATGGCAATCATGGTGATGTCTACGATGATGACGGTAGGCAATGGTGGCAATGAAGTCCAGAGTCAAAGGCACAGCCTGTGGCTGAGGAAGCAGCTCTGCCCCTGGTCTGTAAGGCTTTCACAAGTGGACGTGTCTCTCACCAGGAGCACAGCACTCCTGAGCGCGGGTGGAGAGGTGGAAAGACCTCATCCCTACTCTACCCAAAGCTGGAGCAGATTGCGTTCCTGTGACAGCAGCAGCGTTTTGGAAATTGGAAAGCAGTGCCGGCGTGCTGCCATTACTGGGTCCATCCCCATCCTGCTGCCAGGCGGCAGGGCCAGCAATCCCATCCCTGGGGCAGTGCCACCTGCCATCGCCCCAGGTACCACCCTGCCCTGGGAGGAGACGGGCCACACCGAGCCACCCCACATGCCGGGTCCCCATGGCAGCCCTCTCTGAGTCACCACGGGGTTCAGGTCACATTTTAACCCACACCAGGTGCCCGGGCCTGTCGCAGGAACGACCAGGGAACAAGAAAGAAGAGGTCAGTACGGTGACAGCTCAGGGGTGACAGCTCGGGACACCGAGAGCTCCAGCAGAGATGGAGGGGGGACACACAAGAACTAAGCCCAGCACGGCGGAGCACCCCCCCAGGGGCTGCAGCCAGCGAGGACACACATCCAGGCTGCAGCCCCAAACCACCCCCGGCCACACCAAAGGTGTAATTAGGGATTTTAAAGCTACTGTTCCCGTGCGCCAGAGGCGGGCGGGGCCCACCGGGAAGCCTGAGGCGTGCCAGCGCCCACTGACAGGGGCCGTGCCCGAAAGGGGGTAAGAAAAAAAAGTAAAAACCACCAAAAAAAAACCCAACCCAAACCCAACCAGAACACTTATAAAACGGCAAAGTTAAGGCATTTGTCCAAACCCGACCCCCGCCTGGGGCCCGGGATCCGGCCCGGGAAGGAGGGAGCCGGCAAGGGGCCGCTTTTACATTATAAAACCGGGGTGAACGGCGGCCTCCACCCCCTCGGTAGCCCCCGACAGCGGGCACGGAGCCGGCAGGAAAATCTACCCCTTCGGGAGCCTGCGGAGGAGACGCCGCAGCCCCCTCACGGCTCCCCGACCCCGACTCGCCTCAGGCCGGCGGCCGGGGGTTTCCCGTTCGGCGGAGCCGCCCCGCCCGAGAGTCACCTTGGCTGTCACGCTGGGTCCTCTCTTCTTGAAGCCCTCAGCCCCCGGGGCCAGGAAGCACAGGCAAGCGACAGCGCCGAGGAACGCCGCCGGCCCCCCGCCGGCCATGGCGCTGAGGCGAACGGCTGCGGCGCCTGCGCCCGCCGGGCGGCTCCTCCCGCGCCATGTGGCGGGGCGGGGGGGGGCTGGCGGAGGGGAGAGCGGCGGGGCGGTCACCCATCCCAGCGGCGGCCGGGGCTGGCCCTGCTTAGCTTCGGAGGGGGGATGGGAGGGGCGAGGCCCGCAGAGCCTGGGGAAGCGCTGGCGCTAGGGAGCCAGTCCGGGATGAGGTGGGCGGTGGGCGAGGTGCGGTGTCTGCAGACCCCGCGGCTCTCCTCCGAGGGGCTCTTCTACATCTTGGGTACGGGGGGGGGCTGCCAGGGTGAGCCCCGGGCCCCTGGCTGGGTTTGAGGTGGTTACAAATGGCCGGGGGGTGGGGTAGGGGTGGTCGTGGTGCCTGTTCCTTGAGGGGGTGTGGGAAGCAGTGTGGCCTCTTCGGGGGGGCTCAGGCTGGCCAAACAGGAGCTGGAGGTACCTGCCAGGGGGACGAGTAGCCCCGCTGCGACTTCAGCCAGTCTGTCTGCGCAGGAGGGTGCCTTGATGGTCCCATGAGTGGGCGAAGTAGCCAAAATAGCAGATGGTCGGGGGGTTTTGAAAGTGGATGGTTGGTCTTTCATCCATGGGGTCTGCAGGGTGCTGAGGAGAGACGGGAGCCCGCGAGGCCCTTGTAACATTTCCAGTTTGGTTTGTGTTGGCACGAGTGGGCCGCTGCTGGGCACCCAGCCCCACGCCCCGGCCTTGGGCAGTCGGGAGCTGCACCCAACGAGCCCATCAAACGCAAACCCCCTTCCCGAGCCACTGCCCGCCCGCTTCCCTGCCTGGCAAATTCCTTTACATCTTACCTTCTCACGGAATCACAGAATCACGGAATTGTTGGAGTTGGAAGGGACCTCTAGAGATCATCTGGTCCAACTCCCCTGCCAAAGCAGGATTGCCCAGAGCACATCACTCAGACTGCATCCAGGCGGGTCTTGAAGGTCTCTGGAGAAGGGGACTCCATGACCTCCCTGGGCAGCCTGTTCCAGTGCTCCGTCACCCTCACCCTAAAGAAGTTTTTTCTCATATTTGAATGGAACTTCCTATGTTCCAGCTTGTACCCGTCGCCCCTTGTCCTATCGCTGGAAACCACTGAAAAGAGTCCGGCTCCATCATCCTTCAACCCACCCTTTAAGTACTTGTAAACATAGATAAGGTCTCCCCTCAGCCTTCTCCAGGCTAAAGAGCCCCAGCTCCTTGAGCCTTGCCTCATAAGGGAGGTGCTCCAATCCCTTAATCATCTTTGTTGCCCTACGCTGGACTCTCTCCAGATCCTCCTCAGTAGTACTTCCCAGAAGATCCACCCCTAACCTATATTGGTGCCTGGGGTTCTTCCTCCCCAGGTGCAGGACCTTACATTTGCCCTTGTTGAACCCCATTAGGTTCTTCCCTGCCCAGCTCTCCAGGCTGTCCAGGTCACACTGGATGGCGGCACAGCTCTCTGGAGTGTTGGCCAGCCCTCCCAGTTTGGTATCATCAGCAAGCTTGCTGAGGATACAGTCTGTCCCCTCATCCAGGTCATTGATGAATAAGTTGAACAGGACTGGGCCAAGTATTGTCCCTGGGGGACACCACTGGTCACAGGCCTCCAACTTGACCCTGCTCCATTTATTACAACCCTCAATTAATTACAACCCTCTCTGCTCAAAAAATTTGCTTGCATTCAGGGCCTGTTCCGAAAGGTGTTGCTGCTACGGCCCCTAAAATATTTGCAAATTGTAACAGTGAAATTTGTGGCTTTCCGAGTGCCAGGAAATGAAATAATAATAATAAAAATAATTAGTAGACACTGATCCACTGCAAGCAGGAGACTGACAGCGGCTTGTGTAAAACACACTCAGGATTAGATGGAGCAGGAAGAGTGCGTCTGGGGGTATATGGCACAGCACCTTGGCGGAGCAGTAGACACAATAGCTGGTGCTGAATAGGTGCTGAAAAGTTGATGTCTGCACTGTGTGCTTTTCAGGTAGTCTCTCCGCATGACCAAATGCCCACTAGCAGCTGAAAAGTGCTGGGCATGCTCCTGGAACACATCTTCTGGTTTAGTTTCTTCTGATGGGAGTCAGGGTTTGTGTGTGGTGAGGCCTCTCTGCATTGAGGACCCAAGCACAGTAAGTGGGGGTGTTTATAATACAGACAATGCATAAGACGAAGTGGTGTCACGTCTTAGTCTTTATGGGATTAAAGTCTGGCTTTAAACATATGACTTTACTCTGTCAGTGGGGGTGTTGGAAAGATCTACTTCAAAAATGCTCTCCTGATCCAAAAAAAGAGATACCAGGGACATAACTAATGCCCACCTTTGACTGTAGATTGGTCATAGACTATTTTTTGCAGGGGAATGTCACTTTTCTGCTGTTTTCCATTCTGCCTCATGTGCTGCCTACACTAGTGCAGCTGAGTGCAATGAGATTTCTCATCAGATGACTGTAGTAAAAATGCATTTCCCAGGCACAGCAGAGAGTGGTGGTTACTGCTTCCATGTTACATAGCACATGAGCAGAAACACCAAATTATCGTCTTGCTGAATTGATGACTGACACAAATAGATCCGTTTTTCCTCAAGACATGTGACATATCTGCAGTTGTAGTTCCTAGGTCAAGGAACCACCTGGACTAATCTAGGGCTTAACTTTAGCACCTAACCTGTCTGCTGGAATTTTGTAAAACTGAGGGCTTTACCTGAAGCAGGGCTTTAAACCAAAGCTTTACCCCCCTGCCTATGGGGATTCACTGTCAGCACTGGAAACTATGGGGCTTCAGTGCACATTCAAGGTATTTAACCAATTTCCCTGTAGCTGATTAGATCTGTTTGTCTCTGAAACAAACTAGTTTGTGTGTGTATAGGTGATTAAAGTACTTCTTTGATCCCACTATCAGTGGTTGCTATATTTCACACTCACATTCTCCTTTAAATATAAAATCATGCCCAAATTTTACTGTCTCTTCTGCTATATTCTTTGATATGTCACTACACTTTCAGAGAATATGTGAGTATGAAAGTTTACTCAGGGTAAACTGAATATGTGTTTATTTCCTCTGCGGATTTGATAAGGTACTGAGAATTTAAAATTATGATTCCTCTGCCTTCCTTGCATTGCATCACCATGTAATAATAGTGTTTGATTAGCTCTGGAGTTATAACAAAATCCAAAGATATGCTGATTTGTTGCAGTAGTTGGGTATAAACTTTAAAAGGACTGTGTTATTGTATAAATATGTTAAAAAATAATTAGGGATTTTAACTAAATACAGAAACCTTTTGCGGCATAATCACATAAATCTCAGTAGTTAGACTCCAGAAGGTGAAAACTCACCGTTTCCATCTCTATCACTAGAGTCTACCTTTATTACAGTTAACTATTCAGTATTTCTGTGCTCTGAAGTTGTAGCAATTATGCTTACACTAAACAAGAAATGTTACAGACTGTTGGATGTTCAGAGGAACATGATGCAAATGGAAAAATGTTCCTCTTGGATCATATATGAGGGGATGTTAAAATTCTTCAGCAGTCTGAAGGTTATATATTTAGGTTTGTGTTCAAATCGTGAGGTGCAGAGGAGCAAGCAATGAGCTGGAAAGACAAGAAAAGATGGTCTGGCTGGGCAGCTCCTTCATTTAATACTCCTTATTATGGAAGAGCCTATTCAGTGCAGGTGTGCTAAACAAAACTATCCACAGTACTCTCCAGAGTTCCCTTTCTCTCAATAAAAAATGTTCATGTTTACAAGGATGGCTTCTCTGTCTATTGAAGTGTAAATATGTTTCATCCATGTATGAAATGGTAGTATGAGGCAGGAAGAATGAAAAGAGTGGTTAATAGTGCTGAAGAGATTTAAAAACAGCACGATGAGACAGGATCTGGTTTACATTATCTTGGGAAGTTTATGCACACTGGTGATGCTGCTAAATAATTTTTTTGGAAGGAGTTAAAACAAGGTTAAAGATGAAATCTCAAAAAGAGGCAGAAACTAAATATGTTCAGTGAAAACTCAATTTTACATGGAAAATCTCTTCCTTACGCTGAAAGAAGTACATGTTCTTTTTGTAGGAATTTGGTGTCATGACTATCAAACTGAAAGTCCACAGAATCCAGACAAACAGTAGACTTTGTACTAACTATGAAAAGAAATAAATACTTAAAATAAAACTAGAGAATAAGGTTTAAAAATCTGTTATGACATCTTTATTTTCCTGCCTTAATTATTCATAACTATCTTGAAGATTTTGGAGGTCTCCGCAAACTTTACTCTGACTGCGTACAGTCTGTTGAGAACTACACTGAACTCAACTGTGGCTTTGCACCGGGACAGTTTATCTATATTTAAAAAAATAAGTGGAAAATCAGGAGGTAGGCTACAACAGAAGACCATTCTTTCCTGTTCCTTCTTTCCTAGCCATGAACAATGTGTTCACCTCTTCGGTGCAGCGGATTTGAAGACTGTTATCATTTCTTCCCTCAGTTTTCTCTTCTGTAGACTAAACAACCCCAATTCCTTCAATCTTTCCATGTGGGTCAAATATTAGAGCAGGCGTCATCTGGCTGTGTAGTTTTTAGTTGAAATGTTACCTTTATCCTTAAATGTGGGGAGATACAGATAAGCGCATTTTGTAATTCCTTACCTTTTTTTTTGTTTTCTAAAACTGATCAAGTGACGTGAGGCTATTGTGACAAAAATTACATAGCTCATTAAAAGAATGTGTTTTAACTATCTTGTGTTTGTAATATGGCGCACAGGACATTTTGCATTTTGGAGCCAGCAGACATGCGTTATTTTGGTGCTTGTTGTCTTCTGAAGTAATCAAGCCTTTAAAAGAATAATTTGCTACTGTTTGACAGCCCTCAATTTAAGTAATAGTATCTGTAATGAGGTGTTTCATTGCTTCTGATGGGCTCTTTATAATTTAAAATGGGTAGAGAAGAGAGATATATTAAGCATATAGCATCTGACAGATTTTGATTTCTAGTAGTACTAGCATTGGCAGTAATTCTAGCACTTCCTTTCAGCACTACGGC